ATTGGAAATTATATATGATCATAGAAAAAGTTAATATTACAGTAGTAGTAGCAAACAACGCAGACGGTCCAGTGTATTTTTGTTGTTATTATTATTATATTAATTCATGTTTTGTGGTTTTTGCGCGACAATTTTTTTTTCTCCTGGTAGTAAGAAGCTACAGTTTCTCTTTTCTATCTTTTTTTTAATGGTTTTTCATAACTTGGCCTTCAATTTAAAACCTTTTTCCCTCACCTTTTTATTAACTGTAGTACTGTATTCCTTAATTTTTCCTTTTTATTTATTTTTATTTATTTTTAAATTCAACTTTCTTTCGTATTTTTAGATTAGACAGTGCTGTATATTGAACATTGGTACCAAACCGGAACCAGAATTGTACGGATGGTTCTGGTTTGAGAATATCATCAACGGTTTGGAACTTGTCGGTTCCAGTTCCAAATCGGCAAAATATCTAATTCATTTCTAAAAAGTCTGTTGCTAGCCTAGACTCCAAAATTATTTACGCAACTTAATCTTAGTAAATTAAGTGAAAGTCTAAAATTATTTTTATTTTTAAAATTTAACTTCAAACTTTACAGCTTAAATATTTGATATAATTATATTTTTTTCTAAAATTTTAAAATGGAAAAATTTCAATATATTTGAACTATTTTTAAAATAGAAAATATTAATTAAAAAATCATTTTCGGTTCAAATCAGAACCTCTGGTTCGGTTTATCATTTTTAGAGTCCAGAACTAGAATAGAACTGTGGTCAGCCTATCGTCAATAGATTTTGGGCTATTAATAAATATAACTTCTTTTTTTTCTTGAATGCTACTGACTCTATAAGAGTCAACAACGCCTCCATACTGAGGCTTGATCTCATAACCTCTCCGACCTCTCATATAGGAGAGGTTATTACATACCATATGAGCCCAAAATGCTTAGCGAATATACCTTCATTACTTATACATATATTGTAGACTCGAATTATTACTCTACACAAATTTTTTTTTTTTTTTTGAAAACACAAATTTTCTTATTTAATTATGTGTAAAGTGTCAATATTAGTTCACCACTGACAAATTATGTTATTATTATAATATTAATATTAATAATGTATTTTAAAATTTTAAATTATTGAGGGACACTTTATTCATTTTTTTTTATTTATATCATTTTGTATTAAATAATTAATTAATCATTATTGAGTTTGACAAGACATTTTTTTTTTTTTTTTTTTGTTGCCATTGGAGTGTAGCTAAAAATTAACATTGCACTTCAAATTCTCAAATTATTGAAAGACATTAGTCATTTCATAGAGTTTTCTAAAAATCCTCAACTAAATCTTCATATGTACCGATTCTCTTCATTTATAATGAATAATTGATAGTTTTCTAAGATCTATAAATATGTACAGAGTATCTACTTATCTTTAGCTTCAAAGTTAAATGTCAATTTACTGGTCAGAAAAATAAATTTATCTTTCTAAATAATCAAGGTGATATTTTATATTGGGAAAATGGCACTTTTTCCCCCTGAGTTATATACTTATAGCACTATTTCCCCCTCAATTATTTAGGTAAGCACATTAGCCCCCTCAATTATTCTAAAAGTGGTGCTTTTTCCCCCTGAAATATTAAATTGACATTTCTATCCTTAAAGTAAACATTTTATTTATTTTACTTCTCCAACAAATTATTGCGTATACGTAGGGATGACTACGGTTCGGTTTGAACTGAACCGGACACTAAAGCAATCGAATTAAAAGTTTCCGGTTATGATTCAGATCTAGAACCCAATATTTAGATGTCAATTTATTAAAATTATGTATAAAAAATTTGAATCTTGAACCGTAAACCGGCGGTTTCAGATCCGGTTCGCGATTTTTAACTGTCTTTATTTTAAAACTTTAGTTTTTATTTTAAAATAGTCTAAATTCAACAATAAATGTATTTTATTTTTTTCAGTTTGGAACATGAACCGTCCGTTCCGGTTCACGATTTTAATAAACTCTAAATATCGATTTTCGATTCTAAATTGTAATTTGAATATTTCGGTTTGGTTGCTATAGTGTTTGTTTGGTTTGAACCAACTTATGGTCATAATTTGTTGGAGAAAAAAAATGAAATATTTATTTTAAGGATAAATATGTCCATTTAACATTTCAGGGGGAAAAATAGCCACTTCAATAATTCAGGGGGGGAAAATGCTATAAGTATATAACTCAGGGGGGAAAAGTGCCATTTTCCCTTTTATATTTATATGCCCGGTTTCATATTTATATATTAGTGTAAGAGTTAATTCCACCAATGGTCCCTTGTCTTTGGTGGCAATTTCAAATTTAGTCCCAGACTATCGTTTTTGCCATTTAACATCCCAGAGTATTATTTTTTGGACACTTTTAGTCCTTCTCATGACTTTTTCTATTTTTAGTAAGGACAGTTTTGACTTTTTATATCTTTCTTTTGTTATTTTTTTTCAATTTCAGTCGATTTAATTGGTTTAGAACTTTAGGTATCCTCTAATTTTTAGTAACCATATTTTTCAACCGGTTTTAGTAAAGTCCTAAACCAATTAAACCGGTTGAAACATGAAAAATAACAAAAGAAAAAAAAATACAAAAGAATCAATCTCAGTTTTACATTTGTAAAAATTTGACAGATCATATTAGATTTTAAAAAAAATATAGCGACATTTTCGTAATTATTGTCAATTTTACTTTGCAACATAGAACATTATAATATGCACTTTGTGACAACTAAATATGCATTCATGGATAACTTTTTTAAAAATCAATGAAAAAGTTAAATTTTAAATTTAAAAAGTGAACCCCTAAACCAAATAAAACAAAAAACTCAATCATAAATTCTAAAATCTAAACCCTAACGGGACGTTTGGTTGGAATGAGGGAATTAGGGGGGAAATAAATTGTAATTCGGTGAGAAAAGAATAAGGTGAGAATTTAAATTACATTGTTTGGTAGGAAGGAATATGATGATGGGGAATTGATAGGGAAGAAGTGAATAAACACTAAAATGTCCTTATATAATATTAATATAATAATGATAATAATGGTAAAGTGATAATTTATAATGGAATTTCAATTCCACAAAGCATGAAATTGCAATTACCTTGCACGGTTGGAGGAAATTGCAATTCCATAGAATTGTAATTCCCTCCAATCAAACCATGAAATTACAATTTCATGAAATTTGGTAGGAATGGAATTGCAATTCCATCCTACCAAACACCCCATAAGTGTAATATACTTTAGTATTTTTGCATGTATAATTTTTAATACTAAATGTGCAGAGACGCTAACTAGCAAGCTAGTGAGCTTTTAACTTGCCTAAATTACCACATAATAGTCAACGTGGTACTAGAGCGGGGAGGGGAAGGGAGGCTTTTTTTGTCATTATTTTATTGTTATTTGTATTTTATTTAATTATTAACTTTTAACTTACTCTTTATTAACTATTAACCTGACAATTAATTCACATTAATCAATGAAAATAAAGATTATTTTTTCTTTTTTTAACCAAGAAGAGAGGAACACACTAACTCAACTACTTCAGAAAGCATCTATCCGTAGATCGAGCCAAACATAACCCACGACCATTCTCAGCCTCTTTTTTTCACGAATATATATATATATATATATATATATATATATATATATATATATTGGAAGCAGAGGCGGACCTATAGTGGGGGCAGTGGGGTCAGCTGCCCCCACTCACCCCACCCCCACCCCTTATATAACCCTTGTATGTATATGTGTATATATAGTATAAGTTTTAGTATAAAATTTAGAAAATAGAGAATTGTTAACGAAGTGTAGTTTAGTCTAGTTGGCTAAGCGTGTGGGTTGTCGAAATGCATGCCCGGGTTCGAATCCCCTCTATCTAGTTAGCTGAGCGTTGGTTTGTTTGAACTTTGAACGTATGCCAAGGTTCAAATCCCCTTATCTACTTTACACATCTCATTTTCTTATTAACACTACCTTTTCTCATTATTTCACATTTTCACTATTATATTAATAATGAGATGTATAATTTATAATGGATCTTTTATTCGAATTATTTTTGTTCATATTTTGTTATGAATATTTTTATAATGTTTTGATGTGTTTTATAATTTTCTTATATCCAACATTATTTATTTATTTATGGCTATACTTTTTAAGTGTTTCATTTTTTTTTTCTAATTATCAATTTTGCTTTAATATTTTGCCCCCGCTGAAAAAAATTCCTGGATCCGCCACTGATTGGAAGCTTATTTGCCATCATCTTATTTCTCTCCCTAACCACAAGATTTAGAGAGATCAGAGTAGCATTTTCATTAGAATATGACTACGCGAATAAAATGGACAAACTATCTGACAAGTAGACCCGGCCTCTAGCTACAAGTTGCATTTTGAAAACTCTATCGAAACTTCTTATCTATATATCTTATTTAAGTTAAGCCTAAAAGTGACTAATAATTTAATTCAATCCATATTTAAATTAAATTTAAATTTCTCGATCAACATATAATATCACTGTTGAAAATTATGTAATTTTCGACTACCTGAAAATGATCTTAAATCAAGTCGAAAGCAAAAAGTGGTAGGAAATAACAATAAAGGTTTTTCCGAATACCAAAAGTGGTCGGAACAAGACTTTCGACTTGATTTAAAATTACTTTCAGGTGGTCGAAAATTCCATAATTTCCAGTAGTGTATATACCTAATCTAATTAAATACGGCAAGACCAATATATATAACAATTTTATCATTTAGATGCAAAATTAAACCTCTCATACATATGTGATGTTGCATATACCAAATCTAAATATGATATAACTAATACTTGAATTTGTAATGGAGATCGAAGTATTAATAAGAGTTTAAGGGTATATGAATAAAACATGTGTGTATAATTCAAGATCAGATATAGAGTGTGGTAAAGAACCTGCTATAAATCCTATAATAATACGGAGTATCACTTATGCGAGTAAAATACAATAAATAAATAAAAAACACTCTGCGTACATATGACATGATATGATAGTGGGAGCTAAGCCCGATGTGTAACTAATGCACTTTAATTACATATTAATTCTCATTTTACAGAATTCAAACATGCATGTATAATTATATATAAGAGGGCGGACAGATTGGGGATGGTTGAAATATTCGTTTGATTAGGGTTTTTGATGAGGAAAGAGGCGAACAGGGAGGCCCTTAGCCGGGATAGGCATTGGATCAACAATAATCTTCTCATCTGGGATCATTTTCTCCCACCTGAACCTCTTCACCAGGTGGTGCATGAACACCAGTATTTCTAGCCGTGCATACTCTTTGCCGGGGCACATCCTCGGCCCGCCTCCGAACGGTACAAATGTGTAAGGTGCTGGCCCATTGCCTTCAAATCGTCCTGGGTTGAATTTTTCTGGCTCTGAGAATACTTTCGGATCTCTGTGTGTCGAGTTTGCACTCCAATATAACTGCACATTTGTTATTTATATATATGTCAAACTTAATTTAGATTGATATATAAAGGAGACATAACCAAAAAAAAAAAAAAAAAAAAAGCCTCAAGTACAAGCGTACACCACTCAAAATTACATTTAAAAGTTCACTAAAAGTGTATACTTATGATATGCATGTAAAAATGAAGTTGAATAATAATGAATGCAATTTTTTGTTTTGTGTGATACACTTTTAAAGTTTGTGTGTTTTTTGAGTTACATTGCATTTTTACACTACCATGGTGCACTTTCTTGTTCGCGCTAGGGTGCCTATGCTCACTTGAATAATGCCACATATATATAGAGAGAGAGTGGGGAGAGAGAGAAAAAGGAGGTTCAAATAAAAACATGATCGATACTTTGTTAAAAGTTAAGAGTAATTAGACCCACTAATCATGGTTCACTAATAATTGAAAATTTTAGTAAAAAAATTAATTTAATAATTATATATTGTAAACTTTTATATTTGCAATGTTTATGAAATCCATCCTTCTCATCATTTTAATTTACTCAAATAAATAGATCAGATTAGTTACTTTTTATTTGGGTATCAGTTTTCACGTAGGTCCACACACATATTTATATGTCGTCCATCTAGTAGATTTAAGGGTTAAAAAAAATCAATTTCATAAATATTTATGAAATTGAATCGTAGGTGCTTATTTTACTTTATTTTTAACATACATTTAATTTATAATTACTGGATGGACAACACGTATTGTTTTCACATGGGGTGGTATGGAGTAGAATATATATTAAAAAATAAATTTGTAGTGTTAAATTAATTAATAATTATCACCTTCCATCCTTTGGGAATGTAGAAACCATTGAATGTGAAATCAGCAATGGCTTCCCTGAATGCACCCTGCAGGGGTGGTGCCAGTCTCAAAACTTCACATGCCACGTTCCATGAATATTTCATTTTCTGAATGTCTTCCCATCTCAACATTTCTCCCGCGCCTTTTGACTCCGCAATCTCCATTTGTTCTGCTCATTAATTACATACAACTTAACTTTATTCATCTCGATCATGATAATAAAATGTCAAATATTTCATGAAAATCATAGATTTAATTTGTTAGCTAGAAGTATGTATATATAGGATTTTTTTTAGAGCATCGGATACAGTTACTAATCTTCTAATTGAATTGAGGCCCTATATACATATATGCTTTTTTTTAGTGCATTACATACAGTAGCTAGGTATATATGCTTTTTTTAGTGCATTACATACAGTAGTTAGGTATATATGCTTTTTAGTGTCCATTACATACAGTAACTAATCTCCTAGCTGAATTGTAGGCACTTCTAATAGGTGTGACAACTGGTCTCTGAGATGATTACTTCATACCCAAAGTCAAGGATAACCCTTGAGATTTGGTTATGGATGAATGAGTCACTTCCACTCAAACACACTGAGATTACGTATATAACTTGGGGGTGTGATTGAGTGGGAGGGATTCATTCATCCTTAACCAAAGGTCGAGAAAGTTCTATCAATGGCTTTGAGTATGAAGCAATCTTAAACTTTCAAACCAGCTGTCCTACTCAAAAAAAGATGTTTACAAATCAGCTAGGATTAATCACTTGTACAATGGTGAAAACACTAGGTACACCCAAAATAAAAATGAAAATAGAGGTTATGTATATATGTGCATGCTTACCCTTGTAGACACCTTCATATATTTCAGGAAGCTCAGCCAAATACTTGACGACGAAGGCGCATGCAGAGCTGGCAGTGTCGTGGCCGCCGATGAGAAGACCCAAAATCTTGTCGGCGATTTCCAACTCAGGCATGAACTTCCCGTTTTCGTCGGCGGTGAGGAGCATGTGCGACAGAATATCTTGAGTGGGCGACGCCTTCCCCTCCGCCAAATCTATTTTTCTCTGCTTGATGATTACCACCAGCTCCTTTCGTATGAAGTTCGAGGCTTTTATGGCTCGCCGGAACGGCGTTCCGGGGAGATCTATGGGGATGGAGATGAGCCCCGAGGCGATGGCGTTGAAAGGCTCGGCGAACCGGGCGACGTGAGCCGGGTCCTCCACGCTTATGAAGAGCCGGCAGGCTAGCCAGAAGGTGTAGCGTTTCGTGAGAGGGAAAACTTCCACCTCGTCCCGATTTTCCCACCCGTCGGCGAAGTGCCGCCCGGCGATGTGGTCCATGATTCCGACGTAGCGTTGCAGGGCCTCCGGCTTGAGAAAATTCGGCAGCATCTTCCTCATCCTGACTGCTTCCTCCTTGGATGACGTTTGCGTCGACGACGGGAAAATCTTGTTCACCGACTCCGGCCACCACGCCTCCACCAGCTTGTTCTCGTTCGAGAACAGGAACTTGTTGCCGGCGGCCCCGCAGAAGACGGCCGCCTTTTCTCCCAGGAGGTGTGTTCGAAACACGGCCGACGAGTACTTCGCCATCCGATCAAAAATGAACTTTTCCGGCTGCCCTTTCCACCCGGTGGAGAGAAACGCCAAGCTCTCTCCGACGAACGGCCATCCGGTCTTTCCCGGCGGCAGGGGACCGCCGGACTTGCTCTTGTAAAAGAGTAAGTGAAGGGAGACGGAGACTAATAGAACAAACAAGCAAAGAAGAGAGACATACAACGCTTCCATATTGCACGTAACGTTTTTCAATTCTTTTGGTATATTAGATGAGTGTTATGGTAATGGAAATGGATACTTATACTCAAATATACCTGGACTAAGCACTCGGGCCCACCTATATGGACAGCTTAATTAATTGAATTTTATAAATAGATTAAGGGTAAGGGTTAAGAATTCGGCGCGTCCGGTCGCGTGGTCAATTTAATTGATTCTTAAAAATAGATCATAGGTACTGGTCAAAAACTGCACTTTGGAAGTGTTGGAATAAAAAAAACAAACGATTAAATAATTAAATAATACTGAATTAATTGACAAAGAGGACAAAAAATGGAATCTGGCCAAGTATACTGTAACATTTGTTAATTAATAATATTTTATTGGGAATTTCAATGTGTTAATGGAAAGGTATATTATTATTCTTATTCTTATTATTAAAAGGTTGTGTGGAGTGTGGAAGGATTTATTCGACTTGTTCGCACTTATCAGAAATGGAGGTGGACCGAACACTATTATTTCTTTATTTGATTAAATTAAAGACGAAAGCAGATTCGAAGGATTATACATATCCAACTACTACACATGAAGCGTTGACCTTATTTTATAATGGAGGCTCCCAAGATTTTTTTTTTTTCCAGATCCACCTGATTCGCTCCAAGAGGGAAGCTGGCCCAAAAGAAATTATCACTTGTGAGAATCAAATTTAGGTTATCCCGAAATTCTTCCCTACAAAGAGAGCTCATTTGCCACTTGAGCTACCCTGTTGGGTCGGAGGCTCTCAAGATTTAATGAGCAAAAAGATCGAGTTCATATATAAACTACTTGTTTCATGTATGTTCTTTGAGCTTGATATTATATGTGTAAATTAATGTAAGGTATTATATAGGGAAAGAATAAATACTGAAGTTAGGGTAGATCAAGATTTAACCGCAGCCTCCACTCAAATTTGTAATCGTTTTGAATAACACTTTTCATTCACAGCTCTGTCCCTGAATCTTTAGTTCTTTACTATATATCTTCTTTATAAGAATATATGTACATAGTATATTTGTAGTTGTTTGAGGCTAATTACTGATGCCATAGTATTTATTTAGAGTCATACTTGTGTGAGTCCGTCATACAGATCATTATTCGTGAAATAGACTAGATCAGGTCGGACCAATATGTAAATGTAATACTTATACTAAAAATGTAATAATAATTACGAATGAAGTGTTTGTTACTTATAAGGCAAAACGTAATATTTTTTATAACAAATATAATACTTTATATTTTGATGTAAAAGTATTACTTTTTTTTTTTTTTATCAAAAGTATTATATTTTCCCTTATAAGTAATGTTGGCAAGTGTTTGTTACTTGTAAAGGAAAATGTTATACTTTTGATGAAAAATGTAATACTTTTATATCAAAATGTAAAAGTATTACAATTTCCTTCAAAAGTATTACATTTTCTCATATAGGTGATAAACATTTTATTCCTGATTTAGTATTGCATTTGCTAGTATAAGTATTACGAAGTACAGTTCATCTAGTCCCAACCCATCTCACGGACAAGGATCCGTGAGACGATCACACACAAGTGTTTTTTCATTTATATAATATAAAAAGGGTCACACTTGTGTAAGATAGGTCGGGTCGAGTTTAGTCAATATATAAATTTAATACTTATACTAGCAAATGTAATACTTTAATATAAATAAAATATTTGTTAGTTATAAGGGAAAACATAATACTTTTGCGGACAAATGTAATGCTTTTATATCAAAAGTATTATATTAATTTCTCTTATAAATAATATTGCACTTATAAAGGAAAATGTAATACTTTTACATTTTAATGTAAAAATATTACATTTTTAAGTCAAAAGTATTATGTACATTTTTTCAAAGAAAAATACGATTAAAAAAAAAAAGATTAGGAAAAGTATCATTATTCTTACAAGACTGGAATAAGTTTTATGGTCAATGTGAAAATTAATATTATATTCTAAGCAATTAAGCGTGAAGTGCGTTTAGGCTCTGTGTCATTAACATATTGACTACCAAATATTATCACGGATTGACGGCAAATTCTTGTTCCGGCCATCTTGTAAGATAGATTTAGGTACATAAAAATAATATGGTAATAAATAAAAATAATATTACAGATACATAAAAATGTTACAGTAGTGAATTTACATATAATTACAATAGTAATTTTTTTTTTTTTTTTTTTGTTTACAGTAATGAGTAATGACTTTAAAAAAATCAATGTCATTTAAACTATTAATTAGAGTTTTTAATGATATATTTTTTATATTAACTTTTTTTTTATAAATTGAAAGTGGTAAAATTTTTAGTTATCCACATTGTTCACGATATTATTCAACAAATTCCACACCAACTTACTTGGTTGTTAGTTATTAATTATTGGGTAGATATATATATATATATATATCCACATAATCCACCTATGGAATTTCTTGGTTGCCTTTGGCTAACTAGCACTGCACGTACTAATTACATGCATTTGTCACAAATCATCAGATTTTCAAAAATCTTGCATGCATTTATTACCTAATGGTTTGGTAGCTATGGGAATGAAATTTTTGTGACAGTTGAAAATGTTATTGGAATGATTAAATGTGTTTAAAATATAATCATCTAGTTTGTTAAATGACTATAACGATTGTATGTGACTAAATTTAGAATTGTAAAAAAAAAAAAAAAAAAATCTTTGCTAGAATTAAATCTTTGAGAAAATAATAATTTAAAAGAAATTGAAGATGACGAAAATACCTTGCCTAAAATAGGGTTTCACTGAAAAAGTTATTAGAAGGATCAAAAGTGACCAAAATATTATAGTATAGGAATTTAAATGATAAAAATATAGTCTAGGACTAAACTTCAAATTGTCACAAAAAACACGGGACATCTGCTAAAATTAAGTCTTGTCTGACAATTTGAAGTTTAGCCATAGACTATCATTTTTGTCATCTAAATCCCTAGACTATAATATTTTGGACACTTATCCTTTTGATAATTAATTTTTTCCAGTGAAATCCTATTTTAGGCAAGGTATTTTTGTCTCTTTAATTTTTTTTTTTTAAATTAGTATTTTCTCAAAGAGTTAATTCTAGCCGAGATTCCAACCCAATTTTCTTTTTAAATTTCTAACACAAATAAAAAATTTCCAAAATGAATTTTGACCCATTTTTTAAATTTGGCCCTTATTTTTTATTTTTTATTTTTGCTGTTTTTCTTTTATGAAATGTGTGGTATGCGTCAGAAACAATATAGGATTTTGTTGAAGATATATTGAAGACGTTAAAATCTTTCAATTTTATGCCAACTTATCTTTAGATAAATTTGATCTAAAGTTTTTTTTTTTTTTTTTTTTTTTTTTTTTTTTTTTTTTTTTTGGGTATAAAGATGTCAAAGAAAGCATATAAACCATTAAATGCTTAACTGTTTATGTTTAAAAATATTTTGGAATTAGACATTATACTTTTATTTTAAATTGACTTTGTGGTAACTGATATGTATTATTTAACTACTCTGTATTTAACTATTTATTAGTGATTTGGTACACTAATTTTATTTATTAATGTAATATTTTTAATTATGAAATAAATAGTATTTATGCACATTAAGAAAAAAAAATTATAAACATACTCTTTTTTTTTTTTTAATGTTTGTATATTTCCCCCACGTTTCATTTCTTATATATATTTTTAAAAATGTCATTTCCCCCACGTTTCATTTCTTATATATATTTTTAAAAATGTCATTTCCCCCGTTTCCCCTTTTGTGTACAACATAGATCATAGGTATTAGTTGGCAAAGAAAAACTATAAAATATTTTTAACAATCTTATATTACATCCTTAAAAAAAAAATGCAACGCTACAATAAAAGTATAAAACAGTAAAATACTAACTAATTTAGTAATTGATTAAATAACTACAAGTATCTATGGATTCCAGTGTTTTACCTAAGAAAATCCGTCGATAAATGAAGGAATAAGGTTCAAATTGACTACTGAACGTAACCTGAAAATGCAATTAGGTCACTGAACGAAAAAAAATGTAATTAGACCACTGAACACTCTAAAAACATGCAATTAAGCCATTGAACAATCCAAATGTATGCAATTTCACCGGATAGCAGGTTACCATCAATTTTAACAGGTTACCTGCTTACGTGACAGCTGAGTTGACATTTTTAATAATTTTTACTAATATTTTTTTAAAAAAAATTGAAAAAAATTAAATAAAAATAAATAAAACGACCGGGTGGCTGCCGTGGTTTTTTTTTTTTTTTTTTTTTAAATTATTATTAAAATTTATTAAAAATTATTTTAAAATTATTAAAACTGCCAACTCAGCTGCCATGTAAATGATGTAAGTATGTAACTTTCTAAAATTGATGGTAACCTGCTATCATGTAAAATTGCATACATTTGGAGTGTTCAGTGGCTTAATTGCACTAATTTTTTGTTTAGTGACCTAATTGCATTTTCAGGTTACGTTCAGTGGCCAATTTGAACCTTATTCCATAAATGAAATACCTACAATTTTCAATAATTTATGTACGATTTTTTTAGTTGGCAAATAAATAAATTTGATTTTTCTTATGATGCAACATTTTGAAAAACCGAACAAGTATATGTATATAGTCTTCTTTTAGATATGTATGTAAATTTTCCAAACATATTACTTTGGTCAAACGAATTTTATTTTTATATTCTTTTAGTCAATATTTTAGGATTAAAGTAAACGAAAGGATGCGAGAAATTGGCCAAGAGACATAATGTGGGAACGGCCAAGCGGGAAAGTCTATGGAACATTAAGAGTGAGAATGAAAGCTTAAAAACAAGAATAGGAACAAACTGCAGATCCAATAAAGAATAGTTGAATAGGTTTTAGGTTAGTTTTGTCACTTTGGATGAATTAACGTAGCTTGATCAAGTCAAAAAATTGCAACCAATTGTATATATATACTACATATGCCTTAATTTGTCAGTTTGTTAAAGACTTTGTAATATAATGTTAAAATTACGCCAAGTATGACTTAATACTTAAAAGTAAAAACAAATA